GCAATCGAGGTTTTCAAACCGAGAAGAATATATGGGTTAGTTGTGCCTTAGTAGCAAGAAGCCTTTTTTCCGTCAGCATAACTTAAGTCGAGAAAAACTATCTGTCAATGAAGACTTTTCGAGTTCGGTTTCATTCAGTTCGAGGGCATATCAACCACATGGTGGAGTCAAGGGATTACTTTCCAGTCGAATTTTCAGCCAAGGTCTTTAAACCGAGAAGAAGACCAAAGTGGACTACAACGAGAAGCCACATTCTGATTCAAATCATTTCAAGATGGACTCGACTTCGCGACGGAGGAGCTATCCGTAACTCAATTCGACAGGGAGTTATTCTTCAACTCCACTGAACGAAAATTTGTGTCTTTTTATCTTTGTCCTATTTTTCGTTCCACGAAAAAAAACAAAGAGGGGCAGCTGTAGACACCCATTTTCTTATTATTATTATTATTTTCCCAATGATAAAACTAGCAAGATTTCCTCTCCTAGGAAGACTCTTCCACCACCATATCTTTTAAAACAACAACCACACCAACAAACGTGCAACAATCGAGCAATGAGTCTAGTTGCATTAGGATTCTATTGTTAATAGGATTCTAAAAATAGTTAGTTTTTTTCACTATAAATACATGTAATCCTCCCCATTTGTAAGACACGATTTACATACAAAATACAGAGGAAAGCACGGAAAATACAAAGGCGAAGCTATTGTAAACGATTCGAAAAGGAAATAAAAGGTAGCATATTTTTTTACTTTTGATTCGGTCCCTTACACGTTTTAATTATTATTATTTTATTTATTTAACTTTATTTATACGCACATTTCCCTTGTTACTCATTTTATTTAATTGTTTTGTTATTTTTCTTTTTTTCTTTTTCATGTAATATTTTTTTTACATTTTATGCATTTTCTTTTTTACTTTAGTTTATATATATTTTTTAGATTACACACACACATATATATATGTTAATTTTCATTATCTGTTTTATTAATTTATATATATATTTATTATTTTTTTATGTTTTTATTTATTTTATATATATACATATTATCATTTCGTTTATCTTATATATATTTTATTTATTGAATTTTATTTTATATTTTCCCCTTTTGCATTTATTTATTTATTTACTATGTATATATTATTTTCATCATTATTTTCTAGTATTTTATTTATTTCATTTTCTTTTATGGACTTTATTTATTTTTTATATATTTTATTTTATTTATTTATTTTTCTTTTCTTTTCTTTTTGTTTCTTTATTTTTATTTAATTTACTTGTTATCGTTAATTTATTATTATTCTTTTCTTTGTCTTTCATTTATTCATTTTATTTTATCTTCTCCATTTCATCAATTTTCTATTTTGTTAGTTTTTATTACATTTTTTTCTAACATGTTTATTGACTTTTTTAAGAGTACGCTTTCAAATCAATCAATTGTAAGTAATTTGAATCGGTTATTTTAAATTTTAATTTTAATTTCGAATTTTCGCAACTAAGACAACCAACAAATTAATTAGTACCGAAAGGGCGGTTCAAGGGTGCTAATCCTTCCTTGACCATAACCGACTCCCGAACCTGACACATTTCTGGTAAAAGCGCAGATCAGGTAAGATGGTGTCCGACCCACCTAAATTCGTTTTAAAGTGGTCGGTGGCGACTCCCAACCCAATTATTTCAAGTTGAAGCCCAATTCGGGGCCCAACCGAAAGACAGTTACGATAATTTGTATATGATTATTATTATTATATAATTAAATTAAGATTTAAGTTGTCACTGTACGAACCAAGCAACCTTGATGGTAAAGAAATTATTGTTATTATTTGAGGTCTTAGCTTCAAGCACCAGAAATGTCAAGAGTAAGAGCGTTTAATGTCAAATGATTGAGGTAAAGGAATTGTTTTCATTCTTTGGGGTCCCAAGTTTGAGCATCAGGAATGTTAGAGATTTGAGCGTTCAAGGTCAAATGATTGACGTAAATGAATTTTTGTTATTCCTTGAGATCCAGGTTTGAGCACCAAAAATATCAGGGGTATAAACATTCAATATCAAATGATTGAAAATCATATTTAAATAGATATTGAATTTTACTAACTAATAAAAAAATCTCCAATTCATGCATAACATTTTTATTATTTGGGAATACAGCACGATAAATGAGATGAAGGGGCGACAATTCCACATTTTCACTAAAAATAAATAACATTTAGAGTAAATTATATATTAGTCATCTAAGTGTTACTTTAGTTACTCAAACTCCTTTTCAAAATCATCATTAAAATTATGTTTTAAATTCATTTTAATACTCATTGTTAAAAAGTTTAATGATGATGTTATCATGAAATAATTTCATATCATCATTATAAAACAAAAAATATATCATATTATAAATTTTATTAATTTTTTTAATAATGATAACTAAAATAATATCAAAACGTAATATTAGTTGAAAGATAAATAATTAATAATCAAAACGAAATTGAAATAATAAATAATTAATTAAATACATAATTTACCCTAATATTTAACTAACTAAAGCGACAAGAAGAAGAAAAAATCCCTACTTTATTTGGTGGAGCACATGCATTCACAATTGCGTTGCATGCCTTTATCGATAAAGATACAACATGATACAACATGATACAACATGCCGCACGCCTTCACTATTTTCCTCCAAAACATATGGTACACCAAAGTCACATCCTTTCTCTTATTTTTTTCATTAAAAATATTTATCAAGAAAAAATAGTTAAGAGAGGGTTGTTAAAAGTAAATTAATTAAATAATTCTATAATAATAAGTATGTTATATTTTTAAGAGAAAATATATATTCAATTTTTAAATAATAATATTATTAAAAATAACTATAAACTTTTAATACAAGAAATTATAAAAAATTAGAAAAAAAGAAAAGAAAAGAATAAAATTACGGTAAGAATAAATCCTTGGAAATGATAAGGAAGACTGACATATCCAAAATATGCGGAGATTCACAATTTAAAAGCACCAAAACTCACGCGTTGCTTGCCTTTATTTAATGTAGGGTTAAACTACTTACCTAGTCATTCAACTATTACTTCAATTCTGTTTTACTCACTTAATTACTTCTTCTTTTAAATCATCACAGATGTTGTATTTTTTATCCTCTGTTATTAAAAGAATAATAGAATTATTAATGTGATAGTTGGATGATTAAATGTGTAATATTATTGAAAGTGTAAAAGTGTACAGTTAGTTAGACGATTAGCTTGATTAGTTTGTTAGCTAGATTGTTTGGTCTGTAGCTAGCTTATAAAAACAGTCTGTATGTTAAGTTTAAATAGATGAGAATAAAACTGAAGCATTATTCAATTACTTTTTCCTTTTAAGAAATATACCCTTTAATTTACTTACAATACCAAATTGGTTTTTGAAACCAGTTAATTTTAAGGTAAATTATGCGTTTAATACTTAAACTATCAAGTTTTATTCATTTTAGTACTTAAGTTTTCATTTTTTTAATTCATAATCCTGAAATTATTTCACTCTAACATTCTAAAATCTTAATTTCTTAAATTTTGACACATTAACGTTCTAAATTCTTAATTTCTTAAATTATTTCACATTAACGTTCTAAATTATTTTTTAAAATATTTATTTTAACTCCAAAACATTTGAAATTTAATTATATTTCTTTATTTTAAATTTTAATAAATTTTATTTCAAGTATGTAATTTTGATTTTTTGAACTTTATGTGTGGATTATATATATTATAGACTTTTAAATTTTAAATTTTAGAATTTTTTATATATCTTTTTTAAAAAATAATATAATTTAAAGAAAAATAAAAAAATTATGAACCGGATACCCATGACCCGAATTATATATAATATAATTTTATATATATTAACTTATTAAATATGTTTTAATTTAAAAATATTTTATTTTTATTTTCATATTTTAAATATATAATTTATTAAAAGTATGACTAAATTGAGAGAATATGTAACTAACAGGACCAAATGTGTGAATATATCAAAATATTTAATTGTTCTTAACGGCAATTAGTTTATGTGAACAAATCTTGTTTAAATAAAAACGTAAATGACTATATCTTATATATTTTGAAATCAATGACCAAAAGTGGATAAAACCCGTAGATAATAGACCAACCGTGTAGTTAACCCTTTGGGGGTGTTTGGATGAGGGAATGTTGGATTCCCATGGGAATGGAATCCACATTCCCACGTTTGGTTAGCCCAGGAATCCTATTTTCGGTAATGTAAGATTACCAATAATGGATTTTTTGGGGTATATTACCGGGAATGTTATTACCTCCCTTTCTTTAGGTATTATTGGATTACCGGTGTTTTGGACTAAAATGTCCTTAAATTTTTATTTTTTTCAAAAACATCATTTTTCTGTCATTGAATAATAAAAATTCTACGAAGATTAAATTACAAATTTATCCTTAAATTAATATAGATTTACAAAAATATATATATATATAATTAAAATTTTATATGAAGTTCAGAGGTTAAAATAAAACTTTACCCTTTCATTAAACTTTTTTATATTTTTAATTTTATAAAATATATATATATATATATATATATATGAATTTAAATTTTTAAAAAAATATATAAATATTTTTCAACTTATAATATTATACAAATATATAATAAGGAGAATTTGGTCAAATATACATTCCAATAATCTTTTATTCTTTTAACCAAACACGGTAATCAAACATTCCTGCTAAGCCAACCAAACACAAAATATAATATTCTCAGTAATCATATTCCTTAATAATCTTATATTCCCACTTATAATCTTACATTCCGTGAACTAAACGCACCCTTTAAGTTATTTCTTTTGAACTCTCCTCTTCCTCTTCCTCTTCGCCTTCCACCGTCCTAGACTATAAGGACCAAGTTACTGATACACGCCACAGCCAAACAATCCCCTCTCTCACCCTTTTATTTCGCTTTATTTTTTTTGATTTATTTTTTCATTACCGATTAACCCAAAAACAATGGCTGTTGCTTGGTCTGGAAAAGCTTCTTCCATGGAGGCTTTGTCCCTGTCTCTGTCTCCTCCCGTTATTCTAACGCAAGACGAATTGAAAAAGATCGCCGCTTACAAAGCCGTGGAGTTCGTCAAATCAGGCATGGTTCTGGGTCTAGGCACAGGATCGACTGCCAAACACGCCGTGGACCGCATCGGCGAGTTGCTACGTCAAGGCAAGCTCAACAACATCATAGGAATCCCCACCTCGAAGAAAACCCAAGAACAAGCCATTTCTCTAGGCATCCCACTCTCGGATCTCGACAGCCATCCCACCATCGATTTGGCAATCGACGGCGCCGATGAAGTCGACCCGCATCTCAATCTCGTCAAGGGAAGAGGCGGGTCTCTTCTAAGAGAGAAAATGGTGGAAGGAGCTTGCAAGAAATTCGTTTGCATAGTTGATGAATCCAAGCTAGTTAAGTATTTGGGAGGCAGCGGTTTTGCTCTGCCGGTTGAAGTGGTTCCTTTTTGCTGGAAATTCACCGCCGATAAACTTAAAAACTTGTTTCGAGATTCGGGTTGCGTTGTGAAGCTGAGGAATGATTGTAAAGGGCAGCCTTTCGTGACGGACAATGGGAATTACATTGTAGAGTTGTATTTGAAGAAAGAGATTGGGGGTTTGCAAGTTGCAAGCGATGCTATTTTAAGGATTGCTGGTGTGGTTGAACACGGGATGTTTCTTGACATGGCCACTACTGTTATTGTTGCAGGTGAGCTTGGAATCACCATTAACAAGAAGCAGTAGAAACTGAAATTTTGCTTCTTCTCCAGTTTTGTTAGTTGCATATTGGAGTTTTGAAGATATTTTGAATCTCATGCAATATTTTTATGGGTAACTATTAAAATAAGAGAAAATAATTTTTGTGACCGAAAATGTCTTATAATATATGATTTTAATTAATTTTTTTTGGATTTATGAAAATGACTAACAAATTCGCAACACGAACTCTAATTTCGTAACACAGTTTTTAAATTTGCAACGCGAATTTCTTAAATTTGTAACTCAGTTTCTGCAATCGCATCGTGAATTTCTTTCTCGCAATGCGATTTCTAAATTCGAAATACGAAATTTCAAATTCGCAAATCGATTTTTGAATTCGCAACGCTAATTTTTTTTTCGCAACATAAGTTTCCTTTTCGCAACAAGATTTTTTAAATCGCAACACGAATTTTATTTTCGCAACTCTATTTTCGAATTCGCAACACGAATTTTAATTTCGCAACAGTTTTTATTTTCGCAACACAAATGTTTTGAGTATATAAACTACGCAGCAGCAGCAACTCATAACCTAAATCCCTAAATTGCAACTCATTCTATCTTCATCTATCACTCTTTCCGACGACATCTGTTCCTATATCCAACGACATCCTTCCCTATCTCTAATATTTTTACATAATTTTATTTCTATATAAATTTTCAATGATTTCTCTATCAAATTATCAACTATCAACTTAATAAATGTATGTTTTTCTCTAAGTTAGTGATGATATCTAGTTTATTGCTCGTTTGTTTAGTAAATTAATTTACAATTTGTATAATGAAATCATCTAATGTTGATCATGTTTGGATAGATTTGTGTTTTGCAAGGTCATGTGAGAATGTTCATGGTGTTTTACAATATATGTCTTTACCCATGAATCTTCAACTAAAACTGTCATTAAAAAAGTTAACTTATGAAACTCTAATGTTATGTATTGCAAAGAAATTGAATTTAGAGTCTCTAAGTGAATTTAGGTTATCTTATCAGAGAAAAGGTAAAGTTTATTTGTTAACCGACAATGAAGATGTTGAACGATTCATTGCTTAGATTAGTGTTTCGCAAGAAGATGATGTTACATTGTATGTTGTTGAACCTAGAAGTAGTGAAGTTGAGTCAGTAGCGGGTAGTAATCAACTAAGTTCTTCAACCCCAGTTTATGGTGCTCACAATGTACAACATTGTTATCAACCTCAAAATTTAATAGTTCCACCACAATTTCATCACCAAGAAAATTTTGTTTCACCATATTTCCAATACCAAACACAATATCAAACATAATTTCAAAACCCACAACCTTTCTCTAATCCAAATTCCAATCAACTTTCAGCACCAAATTTCGGTTTTCGTATTGACCAGTTAGACGATGATGAGCCAACAGAAAAAATTGTGAGTACTAGTCAGTATTCGAAATTTGATCTTGGTCAATACCCGGACTTTGATCTTGGTCAATACTCTGATTTTGATGATGTTTCAGAAGAAGAAACAGACTCTGCGTGTAATGATTTTGATATTGGTCAATACCCGAATTTTTATGATGAAATAACCGCTGCCGAGGAAGATGTTGTTGATGATAATGAGGAGGAAATTACGACTGTGAATGAACATGTTGAACATCCATTCTGTAATTCATATAACCCTGAAGAAGAAAAAGAAAAAGAAAAAGTACCCGAAGAAAAGAAAAAGAAGAAAATGTTACGGGAGTATAACTAGAATATGCAAGAATTACTTCAGTTACCGGAAGAAGAGTTGATAAAGATAGCAGTTGATTGTTACACAAAATTTATTCGTATCAAGAAAGATGATTGTTTTGATAAAAAGGAAGACTTGAAGATAGATTTGCATACGAAATGTGTGGAAGATGGCTATTAACTAAAAGTTAACAAATCAAGCAAAGATCGTTTCGAAACAAAGTGTATGATTGACAAAAACTGTACGTGGTGTATGATTGCAAAGAGGATAAAAGATTGCGAATGTTTCAAGTTAGGACTTTTATTGATAAACATACATGTTCAAGAACCCAAGTTTTTCCTCACCATAGACAGACAAACAAAAAGGTGTTGGGTGGTTTTTTGGCTGAGTTAATGTTTTTGAATGGCATGGTATATCGGGGACATGAAATTATGACTGACATGAATGCTCGGTTCAAGATTAGTATCTCATATTTTTAAGCTTGGAGAGCCAAATGTTATTCCTTTGAATTGTTGAGGGGGTCGCCATAAACATCGTTTGCTCAACTGTCGGCTTATTGTCACAATTTAAAGCTGAAAAATCCTGGTCGGTAACTCATATCAAAACAGATAGAGATGGACGCTTTGAGTTGTTTATCGCCATTGGTGATGCGGTTAGTAAATCAATATAATTTTGTTGACTCATTTTATTAGTTACATGCATTTCACATTTAAATGATTATACTTCTTATGTATATTATTTTGTAGATTCGTTTGTTTATTACTTGCATGCGCCCAGTTATTATAGTTGACAGAGCACATATTGAAAGGTCGATACCTTGGAGTAAACTTATTAGCAGTAGCCATTGATGCTAACAATGGGATACTGCCAATAGCTTACGGGGTTGGAAAATCTGAAACCTCTGATTCATGGACATGGTTTATGGGGCATCTTAGGGATTGCATAGGTCCTATTAGCAATATGACAATCATATCCGATAGGGAAAACTCAATTGACAATGTTGTTAGAAGGTGTTTCCCAGATGCTTTTCATGGACTTTGTGGTGTTCATTTGTACAGAAAGGTCTGCTGGCATAAAAAATCACAAATGGACATATTGAAAGATTGTAAAAGCTTATCGAGAAGTGGATTTTAATAAGCATATAAATTGTTTAAGACGTGTTTTGCCTCAATGTGCTCAAACACTAGAAGATGTCGGGTTTGAAAGATGGTCAAAAGTACATCAACTTGGAGCAAGATATGGTTTCATGACGTCTAATAGTGTAGAATTAATCAACGCTCTAAGTCGTCATTCCCGAAAATTAGACATTACTATGTTAATGGAGTTTTTTCGAGCCTCTATTCAACAGTGGTACTACAAGAAAAGAAATCATGCATGTATTATTTCTTTAAATTCGTAACTTATCATATTTAATATATTTTACTAAGTATTATTTATTTAACTTTACAGGAACATTGGAACGTCGTGTTACACCATGGACTGAAAAAAAAGATAACGAAACGTGTTGTGAAGTCAACGTCATGGAGAGTTGAACCATGTTCAAACACTTTGTTTGAAGTATTGGATAATAACTTAAATGGGCTTGTCGATCTAAATGCAAAGACGTGTAGTTGTATGAAATGACAAATATCTGGTTATCTATGTGGCCATGTTATAAAAGTTGCTCTTCATTTAAACCAAGATGATTTAAGCGCATACGCTATGGATTGCTATACTACAGAAGTATATCGATAGACTTATGCCGAGATTGTCTACCCTATTCCACATCTTTCTGAGTGAGACATATCATATGACTTACAAACAATTTTGCCACAGTCATGGACAGCAGGCTACCTGGCCGACCAAAAAATCACGATCGTATACCGTCTAAGGGTGAAGAGAAGATGATACGACATGTAGTCGGTGCAAGGAAAGTGGTCATACAAGGTTAACCTGTGGATCACCAGTGCCATCACAATCATCTTTTCCTCTACCAAAATATGGATCTTCATCAAAATCCAAAGCTCATATGGTGCCAAGCAAAAAGGAAATCAAAATCGCAATCAAAATCAAAATCCCAATCAAAATCAAAATCCCAATCACAACCGGCTTCACCATTTGGGACTTATTAACTTAGGTGTTTTTTTAAATACAAACGTTGTATTATGTGTAATTTATGTGTGAATGCATACATTTTCAGTTAGACATGCATTAGTAACTTGAGTCTGAACATTGCTATGATCTGTTCAGTTGTTATCACTTATCAGATTGTTGTCAGTTATCTTTTTGAAGGTGTTTCCTTGAATTCGCAATGCGAAAGTCAAATTCGCGTTGCGATTGCTGCGAAAGTTAAATTCGTGTTGCGATTGTTGCGAAAGTTAAATTCGAAATACGAAAATCGCAACGCGAATTTGACTTTTGCAACAATTGCAACGCGAATTTGACTTCCGCGTTGCGAATTTGATTTTCGTGTTGCGAAAGTGTACCTTCAACAGGTCTTTTTTGCCTTTAACATAATGCAAATTGAAATTAAACAACAAATCAATTAAACAAAAAAACAATTCTTATTTACACTTGACAAAGCATTGATACAATTAGCCCCAGACAATACATCCAAATGCTCCTAACAATAGGGAGCTTACATCCAAATACATCAATTTCACGCAGCTCACTTCAGAATTAACCTGCAGAAACGTTATGGCCATGAGATTTTCTACACATATAAAACCAACAAACAACAAATTATTGAATTCTAGGTACTTAACCAAACATTTTCAAACTAACAAAGAGTATATATGTTAACAGCACTTGCTCAAACTTACCAATAACAAATGGTTGTTTATGCACACTTTCAGCACGGGGGTACATGTAGGCAACGTCTACCATATATCTCTCTAGCTATAAAATGATAAAACCACAACCCTACTGCACCTCTTTCTCTATTTGTGGGAGGTAGAAATTGTTTACCTCCTGTCGTCATATGTTCCAAACACATGCATACAAGAGGACCACAATCCCTTCTGGCTCTCGCTGTTTGTTGTGGCTCTGTCTCGTCTCTCATCATTGTAACTTTTAACTTATTTGACTTCTTGTTTCCTGAATTAGTCCAATAATCAATCACATCCAAGTTTTTAGCCAAATGAGCACTCCATCCCCTATAAATAATATCTTTCAAATCGGACAATGGTATGTAATTCAACATGTTGTCATATACTATCGTCTTCAGGGATGGGAGCTGAAGCTCGATGAGAAGCCAGTGACGACGTTCCATAACAGGGATAAACAACAGCAATCATAAATAATAATTCAATTGCGCACATCTTTTATGAACACCTTT